ATCTTTGGCCAATGGACTGACCACGACCTGACCTTCACTCCTCACTCTCCTGTCATCCGCTCATTCAATAATGGTATTGACTGTGACAAGAGCTGCGAACGCACAGAGCCCTGCTTCCCCATTGAGGTCAGTGTCACTGCATCACAAAAGAAAATGTGTGAATACACACACACGCACACACACACACACACACACACACACACCCACATTCACACACACACACACCCACACACACACACACACACACACACACACACACGCACACACACACACACACACACACACACACCCACATTCACACACACACACACCCACACACACACACACACACACACACACACACACGCACACACACACACACACACACACACACACCCACATTCACACACACACACACCCACACACACACACACACACACACACACACACACTCACGTTCACACTCACATAGTGAATGCTAACTGCTTCTTGCCGTCTAAACAGATTCCCAAGAAAGACCCCCGTTTTGGCAAGAAGTCAGAGGAGTGCATACCCTTCTTCCGCTCAGCAGCAGGTTGTGGATCAGGCAACACTGGCCACATCTTTGGTGCGAGCACTGTCCGTCAGCAGATGAACTCTCTCACAGCTTTCATTGATGCGGGCCAGGTGTACGGTTCAGATGATACCAAAGCTCGCTTCCTCCGCAACCTCACCACAGATGAGGGTCTATTGAGAGTCAACACAGAGTACACTGACAATGGCCGTGAGCTCCTGCCCTTCACCAACATGGGTGCCAACATGTGTGCCTCACGATCCCGCATTACTAATGACAATGTAGAGGAGGTGCCCTGCTTTCTGGCTGGTGAGTGGCAACAAAAGCACTTATATACAAGCTGCGGTGCAAGTACTAACCACACATTGTGGTTGTACAACAACATTTGATTGTGATTGTTAAAAACCTTCTGCTTTGTGTTCCAGGTGATGAGCGCACCAACGAGAACATTGGTCTGACCTCTCTACACACACTGTTGATGCGTGAGCACAACCGTCTGGCTCGTGCCCTGGCCAAACTCAATCCTCACTGGGGCGGAGAGAGACTCTACCAGGAGGCCCGCAAGATCATGGGAGGATACTTCCAGGTCAGAGAGGGGCTTAGCTGCATGAAGAGCACAAATCTTGCATTAACAATTGTGTCCTTGCGTGGTTCAATTCACTCAGTTTCTTTTTGTTTTTCAGGTTCTTACCTTCAGAGACTACCTGCTCCACATTGTTGGTCCAGACTTCATCGCCAAGCAGCTGTCCACCTATCCTGGTTATGATGAAAACGTGGACCCCAGCATCTCCAATGTGTTCGCCACAGCTGCCTACCGATTTGCTCACCTGATGGTTCAGCCTTTCATGTTTCGTCTTGATGGGGAATATCAGGAGAACAGCAAATTTCCCTCCCCGCTGCTTCACAAAGCCTTCTTCGCACCATGGAGGATCGTCTTTGAAGGTTGTCATGGAAATTACACGAATAGCGTCTGATAATAAACACATAAATTAGTATAAAGATATAAAGGAATAGCTTATATATATATATGTATATATATACATACATATACACATATACAACGGAGATTCCTAATGAACAATAGTGAGACATTCAATGGAACAAACCGTACTGATAATAACCCATGATAACATACTCAGCCTGATGTGTATCAGACCTATAGTATACCAGAACACTTGCACATATTGAACATAAGAAACATCACGCCCACACACCCATACAACCATATTATACAGCTGTCATACTCATGTCATTGCAGGGAACAATGTAAAGACATTACATAAGGATGTTATGTAAGATTGGATGTTTTTATGTCTTATACAACCTCCTTTCTCAATGTATGGCCAACAACCTATTAACTTGACAGAAACTGACAAGCAGATAATAAGCAGATAATTGCTTAGGTACAATGAACCACTGGCACAAAACAAGATGAGCAACAAAAACAATTAACACAAAGCAGCTAAAACCTACACTGAGCTGCAGAGAGGGGGCAACATTCTCAGTGGGATCAGCAGCACTATCAGTGCTCTCACATGACAGAGGCTTATAAGTAATCCAATCAAAAATATAACTAAACTGCAGCTAAACTGAGATCCAAAATAGCTTTAAAGTTAAATTGTTCCTATCTCTTGGGCTCCTCAGGTGGAGTGGACCCAATCCTGAGGGGGCTGGTGGGTCGCCAGGCCAAGCTGAACACACAGGATCAAATGATGACAGATGAGCTGAGGGACAGGCTGTTTAAATTCTCTGCTGAATTGGCTCTGGATCTGGGTGCACTCAACATGCAGAGAGGAAGAGACCATGGACTCCCTGGTATTACTCTGGTTCAACCGCTCTCTGTATTTTTTGACTTGTATCTGTGGGATGTTGTCTGCATCTAAGTCTTTGCAGGCTTTAAAGAACATACACACTGTCCTATTTTCACACTGTACGCTCCTTTTCAGGTTACAACCAATGGCGCAAGTTCTGTGGACTGTCCCAACCACGAAATAAGAAGCAACTGGCAAAAGTTCTGAAAAATAAGAAACTGTCCAGGAGCCTATTTAAACTCTATCGCAAAGCTGACAACATCGATGTGTGGCTGGGAGGAGTGGCTGAGCCGTTTGTCCGTGGAGGAAGAGTGGGACCTCTGTTTGCCTGCCTGATTGCCACTCAGTTCCAGAGGATCCGCCAGGGAGACAGGTAAGCGGACAGGAAGCAGACCTGAAATCACATTACTGACAGACATGTACTAAAGACCTGGAGATAGCTGAGTTAGCCACAGCTAAAGACATTAACAAACTGTCAATTTCAGATATTGGTGGGAGAATGAGGGAGTCTTCACTGAGGCTCAGAGGGAGTCCCTGAGGGAAACATCACTTGCCCGCATCATCTGTGACAACACTGGTATCACTGAAGTACCAGCCAAGCCCTTCCAGTACAAGCTCAGAGTGTCCGGTTACACTAAATGTACGAGCATCCCTGCCTTTGACCTCAGTCCATGGAGGGAGAATATGACGGTCTGACAGTCTGACTAAAGGCAACTACATCTCAGGCCATCTAAAGAGATCTTCACACTGATGTGATGTCACTGACACAGAGCTACAATGTTTAAACCCTGTGTCATTGTTTGATTTTGAATATTTGCTTTCTTTGTTGTGTTGAACGAAATAACTGTCCTTGTGCAGTTTACCTACATTACTTATTTAAATGAAAAGAAAATTCCTAGGTCATATTTTCTCAGGCCCTTTAGACTAAAATGTTATTCTTATGTTCAACAAATAAATGTGAACCATCTGATAATTTCTAAATGATGTACAAGATATGCATTTTTTCAAAGTTAAATAAATTAAAATGTGTGGAATAAAGTGTTGTTCTACCTATGAATTAACATATAAGATTAACATCACTTTAAGTGTAAAGTAATAAATAAACGGCCCAGCATTTCCTTTTTATAACAACACTTTGAAGATCTTTGGTGTCGTACTGGGCAACACTGAAAGCAGGAGAAAATACATCCACGACACAGCATACAAGAGTCATGCTGGCTTGGTGTAGACAATATTGAAATAAATAACATGTAATAAAGAAATCTATATAATAATCATCATAAAGGTTGTATGCACGTAATGGTTTCAGTAACAGTCAAACCTTTTTCTGTCAGAGCTTGATCTCTTCCAAATTTCTGAGTCTGAGTTTAGAACTTCAAAATAGGAGAAAATATGTTTAAAGGGCATATTTGATATGCTACAGTATATGTAGAGTATTTCACTTAAAGAGCTGTGTTTTCTAGTTAAAGATTCGGCAACACATCAGTCTAGTTTGTTGGACTGCCAGCTGGTTGGTGTGCAATGAAATAAAGAGAGTGGAGGTGAGTTTACCCTGCACTGCATCCTTACAGCTACAAGAATACAAGCAGTAGTTTTCCATCAGATGGGAGTAAATTCATGCTCAGGACTTGACTCTCAAAAGTGAAGAGGTGTGGCAACCACTCACACCTGAAACATGTTCCAATGTAACATAAGCAACAGGCTTATGTACAGTTGTTGAGTCCAAATGACTATGTGGACTCTAATCTCAGAATAAGGAGTCTTTAAGACAACAGCAGTTATGTCATATGACTTTAGCTATTATCTATTTGTTGACCTTATCTCTTATAATACAATCAAGCTGTAGCCCATCCACATCTTATAACAGACCACACATTAACACACCTGCCTGCCAAATAAACCTTATTTTCTTTACTCTTTATACTGTAGATTGATATTGTGATACATTTTGCTTTTTCACAACTTAAAAAACGTTCTCTGCCTCACTGCACTTACACGTGGAGAAGGATTCAAAAAGGCCAAAGAGGCCGCTGGATGTATCCTGCATAGCAGCCAGGAAATTTGGATCTTCAAATGTTGGATTTCTGCAACTGAGTGTGTAATATCTACACAAAGACAGTGAAATTTCAGGTTCAGCACCATATTATTGTGGATCACATAAACTAAAAATAAACCATAATGGTAAAAAAGGCAAAGGCACTGCAAGGCCCACACCTTCCCATTAGATGGGTTGACTAATTACTTTAATTATGATGACTCAAATTATAAGGTGGTGTTCTGTAAACCACCTTGATATTTGGTAAAGCTTGGCTTGCCACTGTTGGTGATTACTACACCATGTGCCCTGGATGGAAAAGTTTCTCGATCAGGAACACACGAATCCTGATTTCTTATAGAAAAGGAGCAAAGTTCTTGGATTAGATGAAATGAAGAATGAACACAATCGTGTCATGATCTCACTGCTTGGTCGAAGATACACTGATTCTGTCCAGCTCACTAAGAAATAACACACATTGTCAGTGTAAGATGGAACTACCCATGCTTTGCGTCGAATGTGCGCAGATTTGAACATCTCTGTCCAGTTGAAAGTCTGTTTGCATGCAAAAAAAAAACAAAAAAAGGCGTGTGGGCA